TATTTTTCTTGTTCTTTATGGAAAATTGGCTGGCTTCCCTCGAGTCCTGATGCCTCTTGTGTAGAGATGTAATGACCCTATTCATTTTCTCTGACCAAATAAATCTCTATTATCTATGGAATTGTGTTCATGTTCACTGAAGTTCTGTTGTGTTTTTCTCAATATAACAAATGAATTCATTTCCCTCTTGACTTACTACGCTATGTACTAAGTAAACATTTCATTTATTTTTGTCCTAGGCGATGGTTTTGCTAAAGGAAGCATATACTTGGAGAACTTGAAGTCGTGAATATCACTAAATTCAGAGCATCTGGAGTTGCTATGTGTCAAAAAACAAGAGAGAAGGAGCCACCTTTCTACAAGCCTTTAACGATTCCTGATGGATTTTTCTCCCTCGGTGATTATGGCCAACAGATTGGGCAACCTTTTCAAGGTTTTCTTCTTGCAGCAAGACCAGCAGCTAATTCGAAAGATGCAGAACTTCCACCCCTGCAAAAGCCCATAGACTATAAGCTTATTTGGTGCTCGGCAAACTGGCAGGATGATAGCCATGATGGATCTGTCTGCTTTTGGCTTCCATGCCCTCCAGAAGGCTATAGAGCCGTTGGTTATCTAGTCACTGTTGATTCCAACAAGCCCTCTGTCGATGAAGTAAGATGTGTCAGAGCTGATCTCACTGATACATGTGAGAATCATGAACCCATTCTTTCTATTGAGTCAAATAGTTTAGATATTCCCTTCACTGTTTGGAAGTCCAGGCCTTCCTTTCGAGGGATGTGGTGCAAAGGTGTCCCGGTTGGTACATTTTGCTGCAGCACTAACAGCAATTTCAATGATGAAATAGAAATCTCTTGCTTGAAAAATTTTGATCCGGCATTGCTTGCTATGCCGAATCTAGATCAAGTTCATGCTCTTATCAAGCATTATGGACCGACGGTTTTCTTTCATCCAAAAGAAACTTACATGCCCTCATCAGTATCTTGGTTTTTTACAAATGGAGCTACTTTGTACACAAGAGGTGAAGAAGAAGGACAGGCCATTGATGCCAAAGGTTCAAATCTTCCAGGTGAAGGTGACAATGATGGAGAGTACTGGATTGATTTGCCTGATGATCATGTCAAATATGGGAATATAGATAGCGCAGAACTTTACATCCATGTGAAGCCAGCTCTTGGGGGAACCTTCACAGACATTGCAATGTGGGTGTTCTGTCCATTCAATGGTCCTGCTACCCTCAAGGTTGGGTTGCTAAACATCTCTCTAAAACATATTGGGCAACATGTGGGAGATTGGGAGCATTTCACTCTTCGAATAAGCAATTTCACAGGCGAGCTCTGTAGTATATATTTCTCTGAGCACAGTGGGGGTGAATGGGTGGATATATCTGGTTTGGAGTTTGTTGAAGGCAACAGGGCGATCATTTATTCTTCAAAGAACGGGCATGCCAGCTTCCCTCACCCTGGAACTTATCTCCAAGGGTCTGAAAAGCTGGGAATCGGGGTTAGAAACGATGCTGCTTGGAGCAAATTCTATGTGGATTCTAGTGTTCATTATAAGATAATTGCAGCAGAGTATCTGGGGGATGTTATATCTGAGCCTTGCTGGTTGCAGTACATGAGAGAATGGGGACCAACTGTAGAGTACAATTCGAGGTCAGAACTAGATAAGATTCTTAGTTTTTTACCTGTTAATCTTAGGTATTCAGTGGAAAATGTCGTGGATAAGCTTCCAGTGGAATTATTCAGGGAGGAAGGTCCTACAGGACCCAAGAAAAAGGATAACTGGGTGGGAGACGAAAGAACTTAGGTTCTTTTTCTCCACCATTGAAGTTTGAATCTTAACGGGTAGGTTAGTTCCTTGAGAAACAGCCAAAGTGGGCTCTTCTGTTTCAAACTTTCATTTGCTTGTAATTCCTTTTTTCTGTATTGCACTTATGGTCTGTTTGGATCGGCTGCAATTGTTTGTATATTAATTGTGGGATTGTTGTAGGAAAATTCAAGTTCTTAAGATGCAATGATTATAGACTTTTTTTCTCCATAAAAAAGCAGGTCTATAGCTTTAGCCTTAGTTTGGAACGGCTTTCTTACTGCTTCTTAAAATGGTTTCTCAGTATAAAAATTAAAATTATTGTATTAAAAAACTACTTTTAAGAAGCCGAAAGAAATGCCACCCCAAACGAAACCTTAATCTAAATATCACCCTTCATTAAATTTGGTTGATAGATTGATCATTTGTTTCTTAAAATTGGTTTCTAAAAAGTTAATACATTATGTTTAAAAAAATAATTCTCAATTAGATATTATTAAAACTCTTTAATCATAATATCTTATTATATTTTTAATAAAATGTTCTTATCAAAATACTAATCCAAAGTAATTTTATTTGTATAACTTTAACTATCAATTGCAATAATAATATTATTTTTATGACATTTTTTTTATTAAATGTATTATATTTACTTTGTACTATTTTATTTAAATAGAATATTATTATTTAGGTGATTAATTATGATTATGATTTTTATAAATTTATTTTAGTTCATAAATTATCTAACATATAAATGTTCAAACTAGCAATATTATATTTACTATCTATGACAGATTCTCTCTCCTCGTTTGATGATTGCGCTAAATTATCGACATAAGCGGACAAAGGCTGCGTTGTCATTCTCTCTCCATCTCTCTCTCCCCTGGTTCTCTCCCAATCTAATGACACCGCCTCACTTGCGTTGCTTATCAGTCCCTGGCTTCTCTTGGTCTCCTCCATCCTCCTCCTCCTCTCTTCTCCTGCGCAAATTCGGCATGTCAGTGAATCAGAGAACTAGCTATGCAGAGGGGAAACCGGCGCTTAGGGGCGTGGTTTTCGACATGGATGGGACGCTTACGGTGCCGGTGATCGACTTCGCGGCGATGTACAGGGCAGTTCTTGGTGATGAAGGTTACACCGCGGCCAAGTTTGGGAGTCCAGGTGGTAGCGTTGATATTCTCCATCATATCGAAACATGGCCACCGCAGGAGCAGCAGCGTGCCTACGAGATCATCGCCGATTTCGAGCGACAGGGCCTTGATAGGCTCCAGATAATGCCTGGTTTATTCTCTGTCAAAACTTTTTTTACCTTTTTTTTGGAAGATTATCTTATTTGCTTATTAGGAGGAAAAGCTCATCCTTACTCTTTTATATTTGTGCTATTGTGGAGAAAATCTCCAGTTGCTAATGTTGTTACGGTTTTATTTTTGGTGGAGATGGGGAAGCACGTCAGATCATTGATAAACTAATCAAGTATGAAATTTTAGCCAACATTTGAAGTTTATACTGTCATTGCCAGCCATCAAATATGTGAAAAATATTATGACGTAAAAATAAGAAGAAGCTAACACTGCATAGACTAAAGCTTATTGGTTCAAAGTACACGAGTATGGGCCAACAAACGAGGAGACTCTAAAAAATATTCAACTCATCATCCCATCTTAGAGGATGATCATAAGCTAACTTGACATCTTGCTGAAGGATGTCAACACGTGAGCCATCTTATGATAACATACACATAACTAGAGATAGTCTAACCAATATGATATAGGATATGTAGGATCTTTATGTTGAAGGCACGACTTGATTAGTATCTCCTTAGGGTGGTGCTGAAAGCTTAGTTTGATTGTAGTGAAACAAATATTTAGGATTTACACTGACTTAATATTGAAACTTCTAGGATATCAAAGGAGGAATTCCTTGAAAAAAAGGGGGAGTGACTTCATATCAAAATTTTGGTATATCAATGAACTGATGTTGATATTTTTATGAATGTTAGATCAGTAGTTAAGGAGTTGTGATATTTTTAATCTGGTTACTCAAATTCGAAAATTATTTATATATATTAGGCTTTTAATTAAGATATCTTAGGATTGTTGGGGGGTTGAGACTTTAGAATGTCATGAGGGATGTGGACGATTATTTGGGAAAATTTTGAAGCCATTGGATGTATTTTGAGGTTGAGAAAAGTGAGTATTGAGATTATGTAGAAGAGATGAGAATTGCAGTAGGAAAGTTGAGGAATAATGTTGAGAAAAGGTAACTAAGGGTTAACCAAAGCCATATAAGATCGGTCACCAAGCTTTATCGAGGAGTATAGCAACCACCAAACTTTTTCACATGAAACGTATACAATCATAAAGCAATTTTTTTTATAAATCCAAAAGTATAGAGCAATGCCCTATGTACAAGTATTTTTCAAGTCTAGATTATTTCAAAAAGCTTGAGGGGCTAATAAAATAGTATTATATACATTGACAACTTATTCTAATATTAAAAAAAAAAGAGAAATAAAATAAAATTTAAAGCTTTTAAAAATAGAAAAATTCAGATTGATTAAATAAGGCAATTAGAGTGGTCATGAAATCAATTAATTTTTGAAGACATTTGCTTTTTTTATTAGTATGACCTACCTACATATCAAGGGATCCTAAAGTAAACTTCTTAATTATTCTTCAATGATTTTATGAGATTATGTGTCGCCCTTAGGCTTGCATGAAGAGTTGTATATGATGAATGACCAAAATCTTGATGTAGTACCTTGATTTGTCATCTTGTCTTTGACTTTTATTATCATGGTGTTGCATCAGCCCCACTGGACTTTAAAAAACTCTGCTTTATAGAGTTGAAGTTCATGTGTTCATTAATAAGACTTGGGGCAAGCTTATCAAAATCCTTTAGTCATCTAAGTGTCCTTAAAAGGAGTTTGGTCTTTTTATTTGAATAAGAATCTAGATGATGTGCCTCTTGGTTGTGAGAGCTCTTCTAAAATGATGCCCTAACTCCCCAACTCCCTGCATGAAAATGATCTTTGGCTAGAGATTAGACAAAGCTCCGAGGCTTCAAGTATCCCAAAATTCCTTTTGAGCACCACCGCCAACAACCCTTCATTGTCCAATCGTCACAGTCAGACTTTTGCCCTACCAACCATTGCTGACCTCTGCCCGGCTGCCAATCGCCAGACTACTGCCTGACCACCATTGTTGGACCTTCATCAACCAAGCATCGCCGGATTTCTACTCGATCATCGTCGCTAGAACTCTGCCCAGCTGTCGACCGTTTTCAGATCTCCATCCAATCGCCACTGCCAAATCTCCTCATGGATAACCTTTGCAAAGTCCCCATCACCGGAACTCCGCCTGGTTGCCACCACCAAACCTCCCTCGTGCTGCGAATTGCCAGTTGACCTATGCCTAGTCCCTACCGCCAGTCCTTTGCCCAACTGCCAACTATCATCAAACCTCAGCCCGACTCCATCGTCACTTGATCTATGCCTGGTCGCCGTTGTGTCGGACCTCCACTCGGTTGCCACCATCGTCGACCTCCTCGAGACCTTTACCCAGCCGCTACCACCAGACTCCTGAATTGAATGAAGCCATTCTTGAATATAATGAATTTTCTTAGTAGCTTGATCAACCACTTGAGGTTCTTAGAGTTTGTTCTCACCCATCTCAGACAAGCATAAAAGAGATCTCTATAACGAGCCTCATATGATATAATGTCGATGCTAGCTTGAAAATTATTATTGTAAACAAATTCTACAAGTAGAATACAGTCTTCCCAACTATATCTAAAATCAACAATGCAAGGCCTCAACAAATCTTCTAATATCTGAATGGTGCGCTCTAGCTGACCGTCTGTCTGTGGGTGAAATATAGTGTTGAAATATAACCTTTTACCCAAAGCATCTTGTACTTTTTTCCATAACCTTGAAGTTAATCTTCTATCTCCATTTGACACGATAACAAGTAGAAACCCATGCAGTTGAATATATTGTCAATGCGGATAGTTGCTAACCTCTCAACTGAGGTTATTCAATGGAAAGATTAACAAAGATTTATGCAGACAATATCATTTGACTGTATGAGATTCCACTTGTTATCATGTCAGACAGAGATAAAAGATTTACTTTAAAGTTATTGATGAAAATGCAAGAAGTTTGAGTACGAGGTTAGATTTCAGCACTATATTTCACCTACAGACAAACGACTAGTTAGAGCGTACCATTTAGATATTTGAAGATTTGTTGAGGCCTTTCATTATTGACTTTGTAGGTAGTTGAGAAGACTACATTTCACTTGTGGAGTTTGCTTAGAATAATAGTTTTCAAGTTAGCGTCGGCATGACACCATATGAGACTCTTTAGGGCAGGAAGTATTGATCTCTTTTATACTAGTTTGAGGTGGGTGATAGGAATCATAAGATCGCAACTGGTTGATCAAGTTATTAAGAAGATTCATTAGATTCGAGAGCTTCTTTCAATTTCAAGAGTATTAGAAAATATTTTTTAAGCCTAAGCATAAAATGGTTGAGTTTGAGGTTGAAAATCATGCATTTATCAAAACTTTACCTATATGTGGGGTTGCCAGATTTAGCAAAAATGGAAAGCTTCAGCCTCATTTCATTGGACCGTTCTAAGTGATCGAAAGAGTTGATAGAGTTTCATATAGATTGGCTCATCATCCGAGGCTCAAAAGTGCACAATATTTTTCATCTCCCTTCTACGACACTACATGCATGATAGTTATCATATTATTTTGTTCGAGCCCCTATTGATTTAAGAAAATTTGAGCTATGAAGAGATACCATAGTGCATTTTGGAATGCGAAATTAGCCATCTTCATCGATGATCTATTTCCTTTTTCAGAGTACTTTGGAAGAACTAGCCAGAACAAGAAGCCCTTTGGGACATTGAAGAAGAGATAATTGTAAAGTATCAACAATTGTTTCAAAAATTTGGTATGAATTTTGGTATCAAAAAATTTTAAGGGATAATATATTATAAACAAGATCGGCTCCAAGCACGAACTGAAGCTGCAACACACCCGAATTGCAACTCCCTCCTTTGGATGTGAGCCTGATTGGATGCTCAATCGTGCACGACCAATCTCCTTCTCACCCAAAATCCATGCACATCTCCCCCAATCATGCAAGCGCACAAATTCTCCCTCCCCCAACCTTCAATCTCGCAATTTTTGTGATTCTCGCGATAGGAGAGAGAGAGAAGGAAGTGCGTGGAAAGGTGTCGTTCATGCTGCACGCAGGCTTGGTCAATTTTGGTCACGAGTGAAGAAGTGGGGGCGATTTGGTTGCTTAGGAACCCTAGACTGGTTCGGTTTAGGAGGTTATAATAATATATTTATCACGAGAGCTAAACCAATTTGAATCCCTTCTTTAAGTCAATCTCCATACCATTCTCCCTTGCCTAGGAAACTGTGATGCACATATATGGACACGGTGACACAGATACGAGACAGATTAATTATTGAAAATATAAGATACAGATTTGAGTTTTAACACGATATTATAATTTTTATATCTTAAAAATAGTGTATAAAAATTGAATAAGCAGAATATTAAAAATAATTGAGAAATAATAAGTCATTTAAAAATGATATATTCTTAAAATGATTAAAATTAAGATGTCGAAAGTTGGGGGTGGATGCCATGTCAGGCATTGAGAGGGGAGACGACAATGTAGTCAAGAGTTGGACATTGATGTTGTGCAATGGGCATTGGGCTTTGATAAAAAAATAATAATAAAAAAATGGGCATTGGGCTTTGATGTCGGGACAACATTGACCCTCAATGTCAACTGTCAAGACAACGTCGTCCCTCGATCATTTTAAGGAAATGCATCATCGCTTTGTTGTACTTCTGATCATCGCTACTCTCTTAGTTTGCCATGGATCTGACCTTAATCTCCAACCATGTCCACTCCCGATCTTACCATCTTGCTCGATCAATCTTGTTTCTTTTAGAAATAGAGCGCACATTTATATAAGCGATGTGAAAAACAAGGTCGACGTGGGCGGTGGAAAGCAAGATAAGAGAATAAGTGAGATTCTCTTTTTTGCTGAGCACAAGAGGTGGAGTTATACTCCTGCCTCAATAGGGCATTTTCCTTCATCTCTAGCTAGAGTGGGTAGACAACATTGGAGAAAGATCATCTGAGTTGTCGTCTTCATTGCTGCCATTGGCATTGATGTAATTGCCACGACAATGTTTGGCGAATGATTTTAATGAAAGAAATTTTTGTTGCAGTTTTTGCAAATGTGGTTGGTGTAGCTTTTGTTATGATTACTGCAAATGGTGTATATCCTCTTCATCGGTGAAATCTCGTTCAACTTTGGTAGTAGACGTGCCTTTGTTCGGATAGGGAATGGGTTCATGGTTAATCCTGTGGGCTCCATCAGCCTGCCAAATGCCCGTATGCTATTGAATCCTTTATTGCTTATACGACTGTGACATTTATGTTTCCCTTGCTGTTAGTCTATGGTCAATGCTGTCACAAACAAAATAGGAAGAAGATAAGTGGATAATAAGAAAAATCAAGGAGTTGATTCATTTTTAAGGGACCCGTAGTTAGAAATGTGTGTTGATAATTAAAATAAAAATTTTCTTTTTAAAAATAGAAGTTGAGGAAGAGCTTAATGTATTTTAAAAAGAGAAAATTTATTTGAATTATAACACACATTTGTAAGTCTACTCCCTTAAAAAAACTAATCTTCTCCCAAATTTCTCTCAACTTCACCATTGTTCTTTCTATCTTGTCTGATACAACAATGATGATATACCAACAACAGAAGCTGTTAGAATAGTAACAGGGGCAGCGTTAGCTTCAATGTTGTATATGTATTAAGGGATTCAATAGCATACAATAATTGGGGGCACCTACATGAATGAAGGCACATCCACCATCAAAGTTGAGCGGGACTCTGTCGGTGCAAGCAGATTTATTCCATATACAGTAACCTTATAAGCCACTGCACCATCCATAGTTGTGAAAACTACCAAAAAAATGCTTTTATTGAAATCATTTGTCAATCATTGTTATAGCAATTGCATTGATTCCAGTGGCAACGAAAAAAAAAAATGATAACTCGTCGTCTTTCTCTATCGTCGCCCACCCACTCAAGAGATAAAGGCAAACGCCCTATTGAGCCAGCAGTAGCACTTTTCCTCTACCTCTTGTGCTGATTGAAGAAGAGAATCTTGCTAATAATCTTGTCTTGCTCTCCTTAATCCGCACCAACCTTATTCCCTACATCGAATATGCAGGGGAGTGCTCTACTTCTAAAAGGAACTCAACCAAAATATCCTCTAGCCTGCTCTGCCTCGATAAAAACTTCCTGTCCCAACACTAACCCGTCCAATTGCTTGCCGACTATTTGAATGCAATGCTTGCAAGAAACTCTTCACCCTCACACCAAGCCTTAGGTAGCCATCAATCTAGTCATAAGAAAGTTAAGGGATGTTTTGCTATTGACTGGGGGCAATGGAATAACATGAATAATTGTGATAATAATTTAGAGCTCTATCAATCCCTAAGCAATGCTTAGGTTTATTTGATATAAAAATTTATAAAAACTCCATTTAATATATGCAATTATACGTGTCAAATCAAGTAATATAAAGATAGAGTAGAGTACCAATATCACAAGGAAGAATGTTGACTTGCAAACAGTAGTACCGTTTACTATAACTATAATAATTATCCCACTCAATAAAAATAAGGGTTTGTGGAGATTCAATCACTTTTATAAAAATCAATATCAAAATAATAGATGCACTTATATGGGAAATCAAGGTAATAAAAAGAGTACATGTTTTAAGTATCTCAGGTCTATTGTTCAAAGTGATGGTGAAATAAATATGGATATTATTAATAGAATTCAAGTTGGTTAGTTGAAATGAAGGAATATATCGGGCCTGTTGTGTGATACAAAAGTACCCTCAAACTTAAGGAAAAATTCTATAAGATGGTTGTGATTTCTATAATGCTTTATAGCATAAAATATTGGCAATTAAAATAGAAGATAAATTAAGTTAAGTGTTGCAGAGATGAGGATGCTCAAGTGGATGAGTGACTTTATTTTTAGAGACAGAATGCGTAACGAGTGTATACGTGAAAAGGTTGAAGTAGCTCTAGTGGCATATAAGCTTAGAGATAGCCACGTTAAATGGTTTGGTCATATAAAACGTCGGCCTTTCGTTGGCCTGGTTAGGAGAGTAGATATATTAGATCTAACTTATATTAAGAGAGGTAGAGGTAAACCTAAAAAAATTGTTACAAAATATTATAAATGACATTTTTTTAATAAATGAGAATTTGACTCTTAATAGGACACAATGGAGAAAAATGATTCATGTTGCCGACCCCGTGTAATGGGATGAAGGCTTGTTGTTATTTTTGTAGTATCTTGGGTATTATAAAATTTTGTACTTATGAAAAAGTCATACAAGACATTTCTTAATTCTACAACACCCCCTACAAGATCTAATTATAGGAAATTATTTAATAAGAACAAGAAAACTATAGTCAAATATGAGTGTGATTGATGGATGGAAAATAAAACTATGAAAACTCTGTCCCAAATGAACCCTTGGTCCCTTTAAGAAATTACTAGGTGTGGACAACCAAATAAGAAGTTGCATGCATAATCACATGATAACTTATCCGCATATATTAAGGTTTCATTTAGGATAGCTTTTGGCCTTTTCTTTCGCTATTTTCATTGCATTTTTGTTTAAAAAATTGCTTTTGAAAGCAATCCCAAACGAAGCCTAAGTCTCTGCCTAATAACTTCTCAACTTTCAAAGAGAAATTCTCCGCATCAAGAAAAGTAAGCACCAACAAATATAAATTTTTTTGTGATATATTGTCAATAACCCAAAACTCAATAAAAGTAAAAAAAAGTGCAACTTAAAAAATATGAATTGGTATAGCTCTCCCAATTAAAGTAATTTAGTTAGAGGAATAAATCTCTATGAAATTGATTAATTGGTAAAGATGGGTTGTTTCACATTTTTGGGTGAGGATATATAACCTTAAAAATGGTAGCTATATTTTTTCCAAGACATTAAGGTTAATTAAGGCAAAGTCATACACACATTAGTACATTACATATACGAGACTTGAACCCAAGACATCTTGGTTGATTGCCAAAGCTCACAACCAATAAATTAAGATGAGCTACATAGCTAGTTATGCATTTAGAGAGAGAGCCACTTGAAGTTCGTAGCTCGTCGATCATTCAAACATACGTGTCGAGAGCTGCTTTCAGTTTCAAGCAATGTTTAAAATTGCGTATTCGGGTATTGAGGTGTTTTTCATTCGTGAGGCGAGGCGTAAGCCTCAAGGCGTTTTGAGGCGTAAGCCTCAAAATCAAAAGATTGCGTAAACATAAAATGATAAATTTATTATATACTAAGGAGTGAATAATATAAAACATAAAAAAGCATAAGATATGAAGTGAAATCAAAATATCCCAATAATAAGACAACATGAAATATAGTTCAACTCAAAATTCTATCTTTCCCATATCCCAGTATTCTTTTCATTAACATATAATTTTAATTTACAAAAATAAATAGCAATGACATATCACATAAGAACTCATGTCATCAGCACTGTCATTACTAAGGGGTTCTTCATTTAAATCATCATTATGTTGAACTACTATCTCCCCTTCCTCCTCTCATATAGAGTCCAATGTCGAACATTTACTTCAAGATTTATGTAAGTTTTAAAATATAGCGTGAGGCGTAAGCCTTATGCCAGTGAGGCGAGGCGGGCCTCAAGGCGGGTCTCAACCAAGTTGAGGCGCAAGCCTCATAAAAAAACTTGAGGCGTAAGCATCGAGGCGTTTTTTATTAGAATTGCGCAAAGGCGGGCCTCAAGGCGAGCTTC